CTGTAACTGGGCTTCCTTCTTGGATTTGGGCTCCTGAGTGGAGGAGGTATATGACTTGCACTTGGAGTTCGGTTCCCAGTAGGAATGGGCTTGCGATTCTTTCTTGACCTAGGATGCCGAACATGTATAAATGCAGGGCTTATCTTCACTCTTCTTCACATCGCAAACTTAACTTCTCTACTTTCTAGCTTGAGAGAGATCTTGGAGAATTTGTACTGCTTGTCGAAGAGATGAGTCGCCGTGCATCCCAAGGTAAGTCGAGCACGTGTATTTCTTTTTCTGCTTTTTTGCTTCGAGGATCAGCTAGGGGAAGCCCGACTAGATGTCATCGTGACAAGCGACGGTTGGCAGTGGGCAGCAGCTGTGGTGGAGCAGGTGCGCATGTGGACCAGCCACTGCCTATGCGTTGCGGGCGTCATCAGTTGGGCAAGTATTGGGAGAAAGTCGGTGGTCTGCCCCCTGCCCAGGATGTTGAGAGATGGAAGCTGAATGGTCCAGACTCTGATGATCTGCCAGCTGGGCAGGAGAAGTGTTCTGCTGAATCTCCCCCAAAGAGAAAGGCTGCTGCCAAGTCTTCAAGAGATGAAGCTACTCCTTCGCAGGCAGAGAATGTGTCTCCATTGAGGAAGAAGCCAAGGTTCCCTTATGCTGAGAAGACTCCAACGGGGTCTACTCTGTCATCATCTATCAAGGCCAAACATCTCATGGACGCATATAGCACGAAGGTTGGAGGCATGCGCGATGTTCGGGGTGTTCTGCCCGAGCCTCCTGCTGACAAGCTTGATAACCATGATCTGCTTCATGAAGCAGCTCGTGCCCAATCTAGTTCTTCCGAGCGTCAAATAGATGCAGACATTCCTCCTCGAAGTTCGAGTCGTCTGCATCTGTCAAAAGATGGAGATCGGAGCGGGAGGTCTGCTCATGATCCAGCTGTTGAGTCACGGGCAATCAAGCGTGGAGTTGATTCAGTATCATTGACTCTTTTGGAGGTGAGGTTGGTGGTGGCTAAGAAGATGAGAGAGTCATCTGCCTGGGCGAAGGGTTCTTCTTCAGCGTCGACAGTTGATCCCAAGGCGAACAAGTCTAGTCCTGCAGGGGATGCACGTGTGTCTGATATGCTCAAAACGAACTTTCTGTTAAGCCCGTCCACTTGTGCTGAATTGGTTAACCACGTCCGCCAGGCCGGCGAACTTGGCACCCGCTCGAGTCTTTCCTTGGAAAAACAAAGGGAAATGACACTCCATTTGCTTAAAAAAAGGATTAGTTTTTGCTGCTGAAACTATCTGAAACTCGCCTGCTGTTGCCCCCTTTTCTGCTGGTGACTTGGTTAGTCAAAAAGATGCCTACTTCCGTCTTGAGCGCAAGAATGCTAACGTCTCATTTGGTTATGACAAGCTTCTTGCTAGGTTTGGCTCCTATAACAAGTTTGCATTAGAGATGGAGACATTAAGATGCTCTGTTCTGACTTGCTCCATGTGCAAAGTGAGCAGGTTAATGCTGTGAACATGGCAGGAGCTGAAAAGCAGGCAGCCGAAAAGGCGGTAGCTAAAGAGGATGAAGCAGAGGAGGATGCAGCAGATGAGGTAGTGGCAGACGTCGCGGATCAAGCAGGTGGAGCTGCTGAGAACGTGGTTGATCAAGCGGATGCCGAAGAGGCTGTAGATCAGGGATCTCCTGCTGGCGTCCCAGAGTAAATGAAGACTCATTTATTTCTTTTCACCTTGTAGTTTGCTTTCTTGTTTAGAATAATTGGTCTTATTCGACCATCTTCCTTTTGTTGAACTTGGCCGGTTGGTCAGCTTGCTGTATTTTGATTGCGCATCTTCTTTTGGAGATTTATGATTGCCAGGGTCCCCCTTAAGGGACTCCGGGCGTGGTATGTTTTTCCCGCAAGATGTTTTTCCTTAGGAAATTGGCGAGGGCTAGGGTCCCTCTTAAGGGACTCCGGGCGTGTTCTGCCTATGTCAAAAGACATGTCGATGAGAGTGGCCCGTTTAGTGTACGTCTGGAGACGTGTCGATGAGTGTGGCCCGTTTGGCCTACGTCCGGAGACGTGTCGATGAGTGTGGCCCGTTTGGCCTACGTCCGGAGACGTGTCGATGAGTGTGGCCCGTTTGGCCTACGTCCGGAGACGTGTCGATGAGTGTGGCCCGTTTGGCCTACGTCCGGAGACGTGTCGATGAGTGTGGCCCGTTTGGCCTACGTCCGGAGACGTGTCGATGAGTGTGGCCCGTTTGGCCTACGTCCGGAGACGTGTCGATGAGTGTGGCCCGTTTGGCCTACGTCCGGAGACGTGTCGATGAGTGTGGCCCGTTTGGCCTACGTCCGGAGACGTGTCGATGAGTGTGGCCCGTTTGGCCTACGTCCGGAGACGTGTCGATGAGTGTGGCCCGTTTGGCCTACGTCCGGAGACGTGTCGATGAGTGTGGCCCGTTTGGCCTACGTCCGGAGACGTGTCGATGAGTGTGGCCCGTTTGGCCTACGTCCGGAGACGTGTCGATGAGTGTGGCCCGTTTGGCCTACGTCCGGAGACGTGTCGATGAGTGTGGCCCGTTTGGCCTACGTCCGGAGACGTGTCGATGAGTGTGGCCCGTTTGGCCTACGTCCGGAGACGTGTGGATGAGAGTGGCCCGTTTGGCCTACGTCCGGAGATGTGTCGATGAGAGTGGTCCGTTTGGCCTACGTCCGAAGACGTGTCGATCAGTGTGGCCCGTTTGGCCTACGTCTGGAGACGTGTCGATGAGAATGACCAGTTTGGCCTACGTTCGGAGACGTGTCGATCAGTGTGGCCCGTTTGGCCTACGTCCGGAGACGTGTCAATGAGAGTGGCCCGTTTGGCCTACGTCCGGAGACGTGTCAATGAGAGTGGCCCGTTTGGCCTACGTCCGGAGACGTGTCAATGAGAGTGGCCCGTTTGGCCTACGTCCGGAGACGTGTCGATAAGAGTGGCCCATTTGACCTACGTCCGGAGACGTGTCGATTGTATTTATGAACACTCCATTAGAGAGAGCTTGAACTTGTATTGATGTATGCATGACTTCATTTCTTTATTGAACAAAAGAGATGAGTTGCAGGGGTAACATCAAAAGTAACTTGTCTTCAATGGAGGTGAGGGAGGCTTGGCCGCCTGCTTGGTGCCGAGCTGATAGGCGAGGAGTATCGTGGATAGTACCTCCGGAGATGATGGGCATTCCATTGTCTTGGAATTTCCTTCTCTTAAAAGATGATGCCAGGATCGTTTTCCATGACTAGGTAGCTGGTGACAGCTTGGGAGACAAAAGTCGCTTGCTTGATCCTTCTCTTCTGCTCCCCGGTGGTTAGCTCGGGCTCTTAGAGTCAGGATCGTGCTAATCCGTATGACTTTTTTGTGGAGGCTCGTTGGCAGTTACTTCACGATCCTTGATTTACTGGACGTCCCACTTGCAATGAATTCCGTGCAAGCGAAAAAAAGAGCTTCTCCATTTTCAGATAGCGAGTCTCTGCGCCGAGGAGAGCTTTTGAAATGTAGAATACATGATGTTGTGACCCCAGCTCTTCTCGAATGAGAGCTAAGCTGACAGCTGAGTCAGACACCGCTAGGTAGATGTACAAGTCTTCGCCTGGTATCGGTTTTGAGAGTAGGGGAGGTGAAGTGAGGTAGGTTTTCAAGTTTTGAAAAGCTACTTCGCACTCGTCATCCCACTTGTCCTTCACTTGGGCTAAGATTTGGTGTATGGTGATGGAGAACTTAGTGTAATTTTCTCCTGCCATAGCGTCCTCTTTTGGGTGCGACCTGTGCTTGTCCTTGTTCCTGTTGCCAAACCCGTCGTTCTTTTGGTCTGCCCGCTTGGTTGGTTGATCTTGCTGCTTAGTAGAACTTTTCACGGCGATTCGATCATCATCCCAGAGCGCCTAGTGTTCCACGATTGCGAGGACCTCTGCCAGAGTCTGGCTGGGAGCGATAGTCAGCTCGCGGTATACGTCGTGTTCAGCTGGAAGGCCTTTCTTGAAAGCAGAGGAGGCGATCTGGTCGTCACATCCTACGATGTTGGCCTTTTCTGCTTTGAATCTCTTGATGTAGTCTCGAAGGGATTCGTCGGACTTCTTGCGTATGTTGAACAAGTGGTCGGGGTTCTTCTTGATTGTTCGGTAAGATGTGTATTCTTTGGCGAAGACGTATGCCAGCTCCTTGAAGCTGCTGATCGACCCGGATGGTAGGGTGTGGAACCAATCTTGAGCTGCTCCCCGTAGGGTCATCACAAACACCTTGCACATCAATGCGTTGTCGGCCTTGTGGAGGATCATGACACTTTTGAAGTGTTTTAGGCAGCTCTCGGGATCGGAGTCTCCATTGAAGAGCGTAAACAAAGGCGTCGAGAACCGCTTCAGGGGAGCCGCCTGCTCAATTTCGACAGTGAAAGGCGAGGAGTTCGCTTGGTCCATCTCCTTGCGTAGGGCATCTTCGAAGTTCTCGCTGGCTTTCAAGTCTCGTAGTTGGTCATTCACAAGCTTCTTGACGTCTTATGCACGCATTGCTAGTTGGACACGTTGGCGACCCTCGCGATTTGGGCGACGCTGATCGACCTCCTTGTTGATTCGCAAGGTTCGAGCTTCTCGGCTGCGTTGCCTAGGCGGCGTGTTGGTAGACTGCGCTTGCGAGTGATTCTCCGTAGCTTGTCGACGAGAATCGGTTCTTTGAGAGTGAGTAGCGGAGCTCCTTTCCTCACCATCCTCACCGTGAAGGTTGTCAGGTTGACCTCCCT